GGTTATTATGCATTGCATATGAATATGGGGCTTAGTTTCTCCACTCAACTAAGTAGGACGACTCTCCTTTACTCACAGCTATGTAATTAGCATTTCTGCAACTTTAAAGTCAAACAAGAAAAAAGGGAATTCCAATGCTGCTATGGAAAACATCCAGGAAAATAAGACTGCATTAAATATTTCCCTATTCCAGGCTAACCATAGCTGTATTTGCATATGGCTAATAAACAGCGAACATTAAAGGAAGCCAAAGTTTTACCGGGTAACACTGAAGAAGCCACACACAGAGAGTCCGGACACAGGTAATTTCAGGAAGCAAAGGTCTTTATTCTCACTGACCGAGTCTCAGCTGTACCCATGTTAAAAAAGGTCTGAGCACATGGAGTAGAGGCTTTTTATAAGCTATGCATCCCCCATCTATACCCTTACACTAATCAGCAAACCGGATTCACAGGATTACCTTATATGGACAGGCAATATGGGACTAGGACACAATGCAATGTGGTTTCAGTTCTTGCACATGCTCAGTACATTGATGACAGTATCTTAGCTACATGTAACTAACAGATACAACAGATACATGTTCTTGTATATCCCACATGGAGATTTTAGGCCTACTAAATTTTGGGCCTAGCTGAAATCCCATCACATTCCCCCCTTTGATGCTTCTGATACTGATGCTTTTGATACTCCAGATGTATCACTTACCATACTTTGCCAATACCACTCAGGTAATTACAAAACAGGAGAGACATTCCAGCTGAATCTTATGAATTCTCAGAACTCATCGACCTGATTACAAATTATTTCTCTCTGGGCTAGAGGTTCATATCTCCAGATGGCCATTACGTGAACTGCTGTCTTCCTTTCTATAGTGCTCTCAATAACACTACGTATGGACCAAATTATTAATGGAATCAAGCAGGGTAGTAAGAGGCATAAGATAATAATAAATACCACTCCTCCTACCAGTGCCTTTAACCCTCCAAACTGTTCATACCAGCTTCCAGACCAACTACCTGGATTATACCCGTTCCAGTAGGTATGTGCGTTAATTTAACCATGTGGCTAGTAAGGTCAACCACAGCTTGCCCTTCGTCATCTATATGGAGACAGCAATTTTTTCCGCACACACCTCCTACTACCGCTCATAAATAGTCAAGGGCCAGCCTATTTTGGTAAATGGTTGACCTCATATGGTATTCTGTTTTGCCAGGAGGTTAAGTACTTCAGCTGTCTCATTGGTTATAATCTCAACCACCGCCTGTAATCTTATGATGCAGTTGAGCATGTATATGGGGGTTCGATAACCATAAGTACTATCTTCAGCCCAATTAGCAGGTCCATAGTAATTAATAATTCGCTGGGGTGGCCATTCATCATCTTCCCAATTACCTATATTTAATAGTACTCGTTTCTTCCTACGATTTAACTCCCAAGGTCTCTCCTGTTTGGATTGGTAACAAGAAGAAGAATGGTTTGAGCATACCTAGCACACATGCCCCCGCCCAATCTTGCGGTAATTCTGAATATGCCTGCTTACCACAAATCCAGTATAAATTTTCTGAGGCTCTCCAGTTAGATGTAGCCGATAGATCAAACCATACCTCTCTTAAATTGGTGTAATTAACAAAAGGATTGGTGGGCTCTGAGACATTTAAAGTTGACCACCAGGTAGTATTATGGCTACTAGCATTATATGCTTTATGTCCTAGACAAGTCAACTCGCCTACAGGTGTGTTATACATCGGGCCTGCCCTAGCTAAGCATACATGACCGATTTATAGATGTTTTTAATTCCCATTTCGATTTTTCCTGTATGGTTGCTTAATTACTGGAGTGGAAAGGCATCTGTTGCTCATTTGTCTCAGAATCAGGGTACCACACTTCTCTCGCTTCCCATGGCCATTGGTCTCCCATATTTGTACCTCCACATACAAAGCAGTTAGTTATATTAAGACTACTTGCAATACTCTCAGCCAGATCGATGAACAGGTTTTTACCAGTATGGGGAACTTCATCTTCAAAACTCATCTCCTCATAAAAGGAATGGAATACCTAATGAGTTTGGGCACTCAAGGTCTCGGTTTCAAGGCCTATATATAGGATGGCTCTTGGGTCTGTCCCTGTACCATATATTTGGAAACCAAAAAGATTGTCAAGCTTATTAATAAATTGCTGTGGGTTAAAAATTGTCATATGTGCAGGATTACACTCCATTGATTTACAATGAGGAGTAGTAGGTAACCTCTGAATTATCAGGTCTTGGTCTACTGTTTTTCCCCAGGTCGCCCAGCCTACACATGACCAGTATGGGCAAAAGTTGAAGTCCCTATTTGGACAATCAGGGTCAGTAGTTTTACTACTAGTGCATAGATATTTATCATTAAACCCATAGGTTCGTTCCCACTTAATATTACCACATATTTACTAGTGGGGTGCACTTCATATCTGAGAATCAAATAGAAGCCTCAAATACTGCTGTCAGATTGCAGTTTTAAAACGTAAAATTTTTGGGGTGCTAAAAAGTACATTAGTGGGGAGCACTTCATATCTGAGAGTCAAATAGAAGCGTCAAATACTGCTGTCACATTGCACTTGTAAAAATTCTAATTGTTTTGGTGCTAAACTGCTACATAGTAAATTTGGGGTGTGCTCTTTATATCTGAGAGTCAAATAGTGCGGTTACAGCGCAATTGGAAACATTCTTATTTTCTGGGTGCTAATCTGCTAAATAGTAAATTTGGACCCTGCACTTCATATCTGAGAGTCAAAGAGAAGCGTCAAATACTGTGGTTACAGCGCAATTGTAAAAATTCTAATTGTTTTGGTGCTAAACTGCTAAATAATAAATTTGGGGCGTGATCTTCATATCTGAGAGTCAAATAGAAGCATCAAATAGTGCGGTTACAACGCAATTGTAAACATTCTTATTTTCTGGGTGCTAATCTGCTAAATAGTAAATTTTAGGCGTGCTCTTCATATCTGAGAGTCAAATAAAAGCGTCAAATACTGCGGTTACAGTGCAATTGTAAACATTCTTATTTTCTGGGTGCTAAACTGCTAAATAGTAAATTTGGGCCCTGTACATCATATCTGAGAGTCAAATAGAAGCATCAAATACTGCGGTTACAGCGCACTTGTAAAAATTCTAATTGTTTTGGTGCTAAATTGCTAAATAGTAAATTTGGGGCGTGCTCTTCATATCTGAGAGTCAAATAGAAGCGTCAAATAGTGCGGTTACAGTGCACTTGTAAACATTCTTATTTTCTGGGTGCTAATCTGCTAAATAGTACATTTGGGCCCTGCACTTCATATCTGAGAGTCAAATAGAAGCGTCAAATAGTGCGGTTACAGCGCAATTGTAAACATTCTTATTTTCTGGGTGCTAATCTGCTAAATAGTAAATTTGGGGCGTGCTTTTCATATCTGAGAGTCAAATAGAACCGTCAAATATTGTGCTTACATTGCAGTTGTAAAAATTCTAATTCTTTAGGTGCTAAAAAGTCAATTTGATGCCTGCACTTCATATCTGAGAGTCAAATAGAAGCGTCAAATACTGTGTTTACAGCGCACGTTGACAAATTCTAATTTTTTTGCTCCTAAGAAGTACATTTGGGGCGTGCTCTTCAAATCTGAGAGTCAAATAGAACCGTCAAATAGTGCTGTGACATAGCAGTTTTAAACATTCAAATTTTTTGGCTGCTAAATAGTAAATTTGCGGCCTGCGGTGCACTTCATATCTGAGAGTCAAGTAGAATTGTCAAATACTGTGCTTTCAGCGCACTTTGAAAAATTCTAATTGTTTTGGGTGATAAAAAGTAAATTTGGGGTGTGCACTTCATATCTGACAGTAGAATAGAACCGTCAAATACTGTGGTTACAGCGCAGTTTGACCAATTCAAATTTTTTTGGGTGCTAAATAGTACATTTGCGGCCTGCACTTCATATCTGACAGTCAAATAGAACCGTCAAATACCAACATAACAATATTGTAATTCGTGGGCAAGTCAAACTGAGATGTCAGTTTATAGGGAAAACTGTTGCCTGGATACAATTCTAAAACAATTTCCATATGTCCCTTGCAGGCTTTACATGCTGGAAAAACACAGGTGCCAACTGCTGTGGCTTTCTGCAGTGTGCAGACCGGCAAGGAGGGCAGGTTTGAGGAGTGGGTGGAAGATGATGTGGAGGATGATGAGGTCCTAGACCCCACATGGAATGAAGGTCATGCGAGTGACGTGTGCAGTTTGGAGGAAGAGGCGCTGGTCACGCAGAGGCACCAGCACAGCATAAGAGGGAGCATGGTGCAAAAGTGGAGCGGCCGTCGCCTTGCACTCGCCGGCATTTATTATTTTTAGAATTTCCATAGTTATCCAAGTAACAGATGGAGCGATAAAAGGAACCATAACAGATTTAACAAGTCATTCGCAGTTTCGCAGTCCGGTGACCGGGACCCAGACACTGTCTGGGCGGCGGTCGGATGACCGGGACCCAGTATGCCTGATGTTGAAGTTAGGAGTCACAGTGTGGAATGGATTAGCAGGGTCTAGTGCAGGGTAACCGCACGCCCCCTGGTGTTGAGCACCAGCGTTTGTGTGGCCACATACCAGGACCCTGCAGCTTCAGTAAAAAGAGTACTGGATACCAGAAGCCATCACCAGACTGATCCGCAACTTGGAACAGGATGTGACATTCACTGTAGCGGCTGTGCTCGCTTTCGGCGTTCTCACCCTGCTGCTGCTCGCCTGTCTGCGCTGCAGCATAACTTTGGCCTTCCTGCTCACTGCCTCATATGCGACGTGCCCAGGTGGAACTCGACCTTGCACATGCTGGAGAGACTGTGCGAGCAGCCACAGGCCATAATGGAGTTTCAGCTGCAGCACGCACGGGTCAGTCGCTCTGCACCAGACTTGCCCTCCAATTGTTCAGAGTTAAAGGATTTCAAGTGGACTCATTACAATTACAGGGCCTCTAAAGAGTCCTGTATTGTTATTTGTCATCACTACCTTCCCGCGTCAGGAGTGGGTCATTTGCGCGCCTGCTGCCTTCCTTGCATGTGGTAGCCATTTCTCAGGCTCCCTCTCTGGAATCAAACCCTGATTCTCCGTTACCTGTGGTCACCATGGTAGGCGCAGAAAGTGGCATTCAAGTTGATATGGATTGTGTCAGGTATACCTAACATTCATGCTGCCGCCGGAACCCACTTCCGGGTTCACGGCGCTTAGCTCCGCCCCACGATACTTAGGAAGACCGCGCCAGATTCAAAGTGCTGGATTATTCACTCAGGTGCGGCAGTGAGATCAGCTGCTCTACTCGATGCTACCGGCTCCACTTCTCAGACCTCGGCTTGTAAACGGATTTCTACCTTCTCATCTCTCAGACCTCGGCTTATAAACGGAATTCTACCTTCTCCTCTCCCAGACCTCGGCTTGTAAACGGATTTCTACCTTCTCCTCTCTCAGACCTCGGCTTGGACAAACGGACTTCCTTTCTCTCACTACTAAATCTGCAGTTTGTTAAAAGAGACTCCTTCCTCTTCCTCCATTGGGTGAATTAACCCTTCCAGTGCCAGAGTGCTTCTAAGTTAAGTAAATCTTTTGTCAAGGAAAGCAAGTCATATCAATTAATTATAGTATTTAATTTCTTTAAACTCTCTGTTGACAAATAAGGATTGCTGCTAAGGCTAAAACTTCATTATTAAAATTCAAGTTGGAACTAACTTGGCATTTTCCTGATTATTATTTAAAGATACAGTCCACTGAATTCACTCCAATATAATAGGAGGTGAAACTTACTGTTCCTGCCCTCAGAAAATTCTGCAGTTGAGTTCCAATTAAAGAGGTATTACACAAAAGCATCACAGAATAATCCAGCCTTTTCAATGGAACCAGCAGATATTAACTCTCAAGTTTCTGCCCTAACCAATAGAGTAGATACAATTGCTCAAGGGTTACAGGAATTGCAAATTACAAATGAGAGAATATTAACCTATGTTAGAGACATGCAAGGCCATCTTCCTCATGCCGCTCTTCAATCGGCTGGTGATCCTGCTGTCTGTAATCCAGAAAGATTTTATGGAGATAGAACAAAGTACAGAGAGTTTTTAAATTCTTGCAAACTTCTGATAGCTTTGAAACCTCGATCTTACCTCACTGAAAGGTCAAAAGTTTGTTCAGTAATTTCCTTTCTAAGAGGCGAACCTATGGCTTGGGCCCATTCCTTTTTAGAGAATGATGATCCCATACTAGATTCACTGGATGAATTTTTTGAAGCTATGTCTTTATTATATGAAGATCCATATAAACAGGCTACTGCTGATTTAAACATCAGAACTCTCCACCAAAAGAACAGACCTGTTGAAGATTACATTGCCGAATTTAAAAGATGGGCTACAGAAACCCAATGGAATGACATTACACTACGCAATCAATACCGTCTCGGATTATCAGAAGCTGTGAAAGATGAACTCTCTCGTATTGAACTTCCTCCCACCTTAAATGCATTGATTCAACTTTCCATTAGTATTGACAGACGTCTAAGAGAAAGAAGGGCTGAAAAAGTTCTTACTACTTCTAACTGGAGAAAACATTTTACTACTCCAAAAATTCCTGAAAAATCTCTTCCTCACAATGAACCTATGGAAGTTGGTATAATAAGAAGCCCTCTTACTTCGGAAGAAAGGATAAGAAGGAGACAACTAAAATTGTGCATGTATTGTGCTTCAAAAGAACATCTAATCCCAGAATGTCCCCTACTAATCCATGCGAAAGCTGGTAAGCTTCATTCATCTACTTCTATATTGAACGTTCTTCAAAAAAGGAAAACATCTACTTATTTTTCTATATCTCTCATATTACAGTGGGATACAAAAAGAATCGTGACTGAAGCCATTATTGATTCTGGTGCTAATGGAACCTTCCTTGATTTTTCTTTTGTTGCAAAGAATAAAATTCCGTGTGTTCAAAAAACCAATTTTATTCCAATCAGAGTTATTGATGGTTCATTTATATCCTCAGGACCAATAAAAGATGAGACAATTCCTCTAAGAATGATTACCAATAACGTACATACAGAATTCCTTACATTTGATGTTATTAAATCTCCACTTTATCCCGTCATTCTAGGAATTAATTGGTTAAAAACTCATGATCCTTTAATTAAATGGTCACCCTTTTCCATTTCTTTTCCTTCTGACTTTTGCAAAAAAACCTGCTTCCAACATATTCCTATTCTCCAAACTACTCAGGAATCAATTATACCTCCATTCTACTCTGACTTTTCAGATGTCTTTTGTAAAAAAGAAGCGGAAACACTTCCACCTCATCGAGCATATGATTGCCCAATAGATCTAATACCTGGTGCTCCCATTCCTTATGGACACATTTATCCACTTTCTGAAAAGGAATTGCAGACCTTAAAAGAATATCTTAATGAAAATTTACGTAAAGGATTCATCAGACCCTCGACTTCACCGGCTGCCTCTAGTATATTTTTTGTGAGGAATAAGGACCAAACCATCCGACCCATTATAGATTACAGAGCCTTAAATAAAATAACCATAAAAAATCGTTATCCTCTTCCACTAATAAATGAATTAATTGAAAGGTTAAGAACTGCAACTATATTCACTAAACTCGACCTCCGAGGCGCATATAACCTCATTAGAATAAAACAGGATGATGAATGGAAGACCGCCTTCCGGACTAGATATGGTCTCTACGAATATCTAGTGATGCCTTTTGGGCTTTGTAATGCCCCTGCAACATTCCAACATTTTATAAATGATATCTTTAGAGATCTTTTGGATGTTTGTGTTATTATCTACTTAGATGATATTCTAATATATTCTAACAATTTGGATGAACATAGGAAGCATGTAAGATGGGTTCTATCTAGATTGAGAACTCACAAATTATACGCTAAACCAGAGAAATGTCTTTTTGAAGTTACTGAACTCTCCTTTCTTGGATACATTATTTCACCTCATTCTCTGAAAATGGATAACTCTAAAATCGAATGTATTATTAACTGGCCCGTTCCTACTACTACAAAAGAATTGCAACGATTTCTTGGATTTGCAAACTTCTATAGAAAATTCATTAGAAACTACTCAGAGGTATCACATCCACTTAACCACCTTAACAGTACTAAACGTCCTTTCAAATGGAATAAAGATGCACAAGCTGCCTTCGACAGTTTAAAAAAAAGATTTACAACTGCACCTATTCTACAGCTACCTAATCCAACATTCTTGTATGTCCTAGAAGTCGATGCATCAGATTCAGCTATCGGAGCAGTTCTTTCTCAGCAAAAGACTCCTCAAGATCCACTTCATCCAGTCGCATTCTTTTCAAGATCCTTGAGCTCTGCTGAAAAAAATTAAACTATTGGTGAAAAGGAATTATTAAGTGTTAAAGCTGCCTTTGAAAATTGGCGCCATCTATTAGAAGATACAAAACAACCTATCATAGTCTATACAGACCATAAAAATCTTGAATATCTTTATACTAATAAAACCCTTACGGCTAGACAAGTTAGATGGAACCTATTTTTTAACCGGTTTAACTTCCAATTAATATACAGACCTGGAACTAGAAATAAAAAGGCTGACGCTCTTTCTCGAATTCCTTCTAAAACTTCTATTGATGTTTATCCTCCTAACAAAATAATAGGGAACCTCTCTTCTCTTCAGGATGATTTAAGGAACTTGAATCAAAAGGATCTTGAACTTCCCAAAACACCTAATTTAACAAAAAAGGATGGTATATTTTACTTTAAAAATAGAATTTATATTCCTCCCATTCTTAGGAACAAATTACTCAAAATGGTTCAAGATTCACCCCTAGCTGGACATCCTGGAATAAAGAAAACTCTTGAACTAACTTCACGATATTATTGGTGGCCTCGCCAAGATAGAACCATTGAATTATATGTCAAAACTTGTCCTATCTGTCAAAGGTCCAAATCTGAACATAATCAACCTTTTGGATTACTATTTAACTTACCTATTCCAGAAAAACCTTGGCAATCCATTTCTATGGATTTTCTTGTTGACCTTCCTCCATCCCGACAGTTCACCACTATTCTTGTTGTTGTGGACCGCTTCACTAAAATGTCCCATTTCATCTCTTTAAAAAAATTACCCTCCTCCGTAGAATTGTCCAAAGTCTTTATTGATAATATTGTAAAGCTTCATGGTCTTCCAGAAGAAATTATTTCTGATAGGGGGACACAATTTACCTCCAAATTCTGGAAAGAGATGTGTCTCTCTCTTCAAATTCAACGCAAACTCTCTTCTGCCTATCATCCCCAAACTAATGGGCAAACAGAGAGAGTTAATCAATGTTTGGAACAATATCTCCGATGTTATTGTTCATACCTGCAAGATGACTGGACCACTTGGTTACCTATGGCTGAATTTTCTTACAATAATACCATTCATTCTAGTACGAAAATGACTCCTTTTTTCTCCAACTATGGTTTTCATCCGTCCTCATTTCCCATCCCATCTAATTCTTCATCCAATCCCACGGTTACTTCAAAATATGAATTTATGTCTTCTCTATTCCTTAAATTACGGGAGAATCTTCAACTCGCCCAAAACTACCAGAAAAAGTTTTTTGACCATAATAGAAGAATTCCCCCTCCTTATAAAGTGGGGGATCTTGTCTGGCTCTCTTCAAAAAATATTACCACAAACCGTCCTTCAAAGAAATTGAGCTCTCTTTTTCTTGGTCCTTTTCAAATAACTACAATCATCAATGATAACGTTGTTAAATTAAAACTTCCTCCAAGTTTTAAACTTCATCCAGTATTCCATGTCTCTTTGCTTAAACCACACATCCCTGATCCTTTCCATAGAGAAATAGTAACAACTCCTGAACCTATCATCGTCCAAGGTGAAGAAGAATATGAAATTCATAAGATTTTGGATTCTCGTATCCACCGTGGCTCTTTACAATACCTTATCAGATGGAAAGGTTATGGAGTTGATGAAGATACCTGGGAAGATTCATCTAATGTTCATGCAAAGAGATTAGTTGATGCTTTTCACAAACGCTACCCCTTTAAACCGAAATAAGTGCACCCAGAGGATGCCCCATGAGAAGGGGGTACTGTCAGGTATACCTAACATTCATGCTGCCGCCGGAACCCACTTCCGGGTTCACGGCGCTTAGCTCCGCCCCTTTTTTCTGACGCGGTCTTTCCACGATACTTAGGAAGACCGCGCCAGATTCAAAGTGCTGGATTATTCACTCAGGTGCGG